AAGGGGCGTGACATGATGTTTTGTGTAGGGGCATTTCACTTCAGCTATGCCAAAGTAATCTGTGCAGCCGAAGTCGACTACTCTTGCATCAGGAGTAGCTCCGAGAATGGGACACCCCTTTGAAACAACAAGACCACAAGGGAGCACCTTAACAGGTGTACTTTTGTTAAACATATACTTTTCATACTCCCTTAATGCAACAGATTCAAACTTTTTTCCATGTTCTAACTGTTTTGAAGTAACCAATTTTGGATTGATCAATTGTTCTGCAAAAGTGTCATGATTTCTCTGTCGTCTAGAAATCAAGTGAAATTGAGAGGCAGTGAACCTGAATTTTCGCTCATCTTTCCATTTAGTACATTCAGCTTGTTTCCTTGTTTGTGTTTCAAGGTCATTGAGTTCATTTTCCTCTAACTTCAAAGATTGTATAAGTTTGTTGTCATTCTCACTCAAATTGTCAGGTAGTGCCATTTCATTAATATCCCTTAGAGGAAACCTTGGATAAGTGAGGGCTTGATTTTTAGTTACTTGGCTAAGTCTTGGTACACAGTCAATGGATGCTGTGGCCTCAAAGTGTGCCTCTGTCAGGGAAACTTGGTATGACAAGAAACAACCAACTTGACATTTGCCAAATTTTGTTTCTACAAGTCTAGTATGCGTCTGATCAATCTGTTCACTAGCCATATGAGACAGGCCTATATTAGGGTCAATTTGTTTCAGCTGCTCCTTTAGTTTCTGCTCTGCAGCTACATTATGTGTGGTTTTCATCCTGGCATCATATACAAGATATTTGGTGCCAGAACGTAATCTGAATTCTGCATCCTTTGTTTTTGAAACTTCCACTTCCATCACTGGCTGTGGTACAATGTTCTTTCCTCCGCCCTTCTTGTGCCACTGCTGCAGTTGTGATGTACAGGCCAAGGAGGATTGCTCGTTCTGTTCCTCCATCAGGTCCTTGGTAGAATTACAGGAAAATAACGTAAACTTGCATATCTTGAACATCAATGCCAACACATGGTTACAGAATCCGCTTTTTCCTGCCACACACGAACACGAAGCACCTCCACTTCTCCTGACGAGATGCACAAGGCGATTTTCAGATTATGTGGGGGGTCATTTTTTCGAAAACTATGACAGCACTTCCCTTTGAAGAAGAAGTACTTCGAATCACTGGCACATTCAATATTTTCCAGATATTCATCATCTGAGAAGCGCCTGGCCTCTACCAACCCCGTCGGGAGGGTGTGATGATCAATATTACCAATGATTTTCCCGGACATCAACACGTGGTGATTCATTTGCAGTCGCGTGAACATTGGCATCTTCTCCAACGACGTTCCCCATCCAGTAGTTGGAAAGTCTGCTGCCCCCGTACTTTTCTTGACAAGCTCTGAACTTGTGCCTTGCTATTGCTTTCTACGGCTATATATTTTATGTGGATCTGGATCTATGATCTGTTTGTCCTTGCCCCTCCGTATGTACTCGTACACTCGTTTCACTAGCTCTGCTTTTGTCTTCAAACCTTTCCCTGTGTCTCTGCGACATTTCAGCCAGAATTTTAGTTCTGAGTTTTTCAACTCCTCAGGTTTTCGTCCAAGTAGAGAAGCGCTGCGAATATTGTTTTCCGTAAGAGGAATTGCATTTGAATCGCTTGAATTGTCCGATGTACTTGCCATTTTCAGCGCTTGTGGCCGTGCTTGTGTTGTAAACAACAAAAGACACAACGCGACGCTGGCCTCATTTTCATGCTGCTCGAACCAGGTTTCGCGCGGGGTCCGCCATTATAAAAGTCGTGTATGACTTTCCCTCAACAAAACTTTTCATAACGAAAACAGGAAGGGATGTGTCATCTGAAATCAGAAGTTTAATAATATTTATAATTTATTGCTTCTATTGTGCGCATTCCATAAAATGATCATGTGCACATTACAATAAAACATAATACGATTAAATATCTTACAATTAACCCTTGGAGAACTGTATTTCTGAAAATCATTTTGTATTTTGCTGCCTTAGGTTGGTATTCCTTTCTCATTTTTATTAATGTCTAACCTGTTCAACCCTTTATAATGTGACCTCTCACACAAAAATGTACACTAATGGTGTTAAGTTAAACAGGCAAAAACCAACTGCTAACGTGTGCGATAAAGTTGCAATTTTTTCCACAAGTCAGGCCCTCAAAAATTGGCAAAGATGGGCCTTTAAGTGTTCTCCTTGAAACTTTGCATATTTCTGGCATTACATAGCCCCACAATAACTCCAATACGGAGAAAAAACGCGGTTGAGGAAATATGGCGCGAAAAAATTGGCGAGCGAAGCGAGCCGAGCTAACTTCACTCGCCGTTTTGTCTACCACAGAGGTTGTTCACAAGGTAATTATTACCATGCTCTCAATTATTCCTTGATTTAAAGAAACAAAATGTTCCCAGGAATTTACTTAAGCCTTTTATTAACAAATGGGACTGAACCCAAAACAAATGTGGAATTATTTAAAAGAATTACGAATACAATTTTAAAAGCTCTGAAAACGTTGATAGAAGGAGATTTCTATTCACAATATAAACCCTTATGAAAAAAGGAATCAATGATTATTTCTCGCGGAGAGCACATTCAAATCTCTTCGACCGACACTTGGCATTTATTTTGCATATCTTCGGGACCAACTGGAAACGTTGTGAAGATCAACACTAAAGAAGAAGAAAAGAGGAAATCAATATACACAATTCCTAAACAACAGATCACTTCACCACTCTTGTATGAGATCAGCTCTACCACCACTTGTGAAACCCGTTGTTACAAGAAAAGCTTCCTTTTAAGCGACTGTGACCGCACCGAACCAGACTCAATTGATATAAATTACCTTTCAGGGTATGGAGTTTAGTCTTGTCTAGCAGTTGTTTGCCAAAATTTCCGTCCGTGTTGCTCATCGCCAGTTCAGCTGGTGTGAAAAAGTTGGGAAGAAGGTTAATGGCACACTTGTACAGATCTGTCCCAGACTGCCGAGTCTCACGGAGGTCCTCTGTCACTGGTGTGGAACTGTTGTTGATAAGAGCTGGCTGCAGTGGTTCAGTTGGCGGCACAACTGGGCTGACTGGAAATAGTTCCTGCATCCTGCTCAAAGCATCTTCGTCTATTGTCAAAAGATCGGAGTCATTTTCACAGATCGATGTTCCGTCAGCGGTTAAGTAAATGCAGCTTGATTCTGTGTCCTGACTGTAACTTTGCTAAGATATGAAAAAACAAAAAAAGAGCATCGTGTGAAAAAGTTGTTTCAATTTTGACATAAAAACTAATTCAGTGGTAAAGTTTTTTTCAACCATCGATTCGCTGGTGCTTTATAACATGACCAATGAATAAAATATAACTCTTAAATCAACCCTCACCAAGCAGGAAGTCATGATGGGAGCGAGCTCTGTTGAACTGGCCTGTTACACAATACTTATCTTTTATGTTCGGCAATTTGATGAAATAGTTCTCCAGAAGTGAAGACCAATTGTAAGCTGGTACAATGTTTCTTCCGTCGTGTGTTCCGACCAGTTGTGCTTTGTTGACACCAGTGAGGCTTGAACCATCCCATATGTCCGCAAACTCGTATAGGGAGGAAATAAAATTCATTTTATAAGCTTTTTTGATCATTCCGAAGCTGTGATCAGGGCCAAACTTTGTGTGACCGGCAATTAGGAAGGAGTAATTGATTGATTCGCACAATTGCATGATTGTTCTCCATGCTAGGTACCAGATAAAGTAATTGTTTTTGTTCTGTCCCGAGCAATTGTCTGCATGAAGATGAACTTGTGTTTCACCAAGTTCACAGTTCTGCAAATAGTGATGAACATAGCTGACGGTAGTGTTTGCTCCTTTATCAACACCATTTGTCTCGTCAATTAGATAGTTTACTTGTCGGGGTATTGCTTCACTCATAACACCAAAAATTCCACACTTGCGAGGTGTCTTAAAATAAATCAGTCCTGGCTGCATGGGATCGCTAGGAATATGGATCTGTTGGGCAAAGTAGAACGAATAATGTATCATTGTGTCCAGGGAACAGGCTTCATGACGTTCATCCAAATCTATTTGCTCTTCAGGTGTCTTGAAGTTGGTTTCCGCTTCTTGACAGACCCTCCTGTAAACCTCTCTTTCCGTTTTAACACGGTTTAATGCTCCTGCTGGGCTCGGACGCACTCAGATTTTTCCCTGTATGGTAGGTTCGCAGATCGGACTAGCTTACATGTGTTCTGTTAGCATGTTAAACAGAGGGCAGACATAGGTTTCGCTACAACGACATTAAGGTGAAACTGCTGCCACAAATCAATAGTGTAACAGACCCCTTGCTTCCCAGTTTCTTCACATGATTTTTTAAACTCGTGCCAAACAGACATTTTGGTGTCACTCGATGACAGAAGCTTGATGTCATCATTCTTAAAACCTGGTATCCTCCCAGGAAGAAGAACAGCGTTTTCTTCTACGTAGTTTGTCAGAAAGTTCTTGACATCCTCACTAACTGCTTGTGGTGTGGCGTTGTGTGAAAGTCTTTTGTGATTTCCATGGACTCTCAGTGATAACCCATTCTCTCAATAGTGGTCTTTCAGTCTGAGGAATCGGGGATAATAATAATGATAATAATAATAATAATAATAATAATAATAATAATAATAATAATAATAATAATATTTATTATTTGGTATTGTTCAAATTAATATATATCAATTGATCAAATGCGCATTACAAACTATTAAAGCTAACTAAAAGAATATTTTAATTATTGAATTAAACATGAATATATCGTAAATGACACCTAACTTAATTATTTAGTACTTAACCTATTGCTTACAATAATTATAACTAAAAGAAATGTTATATGTTTCATTAAAATTGATGGAAAAAAAAAAAGACAGTAAAATTGTTAATTAGAAATTGTATGCAAGTTTAAAATGATAAGTCTTTAGCTGTTTCTTAAAAGTATAATAGTTGTCCTGTTTCCTAATGTCCTTGGGTAAAATGTTCCAGATTCTAGGGGCCGCTACTTTGAAAGTCCTGTCTCCAAGTGTCTTCTTTGATCGTGCACTATAATCCTTGAGTAACATCTCCCCATCTGATCTAAGATTATCTCTGGTGGTACTCTTAACTTTTATTAGATTCTTAAGGTATTCGGGTGCATTACCATAGATACACTTATAAGCAAGCATTGCTATCTTAAAATTTACCTTAGACATTACTGGAAGCCAATGTAAATTTACAAGTGTAGGGGTAATGTGATCATACTTAACAACGTTACTAACAAGGCGAGCCGCTGCATTTTGTAAACGCTGTAATTTGCTTAGCTGGGTGGATGAAACACCAACCAAGAGGCTATTACAATAATCTATACGTGACATTATAACTGCTTCAACTATAGACTTCCTGTCATCATAACTCAGATACCTGCTAATGCGTTTAATGTTATACAGATGATAAATAGCAACTTGGCACATTTCATTTATGTATGGAGACATGGTGAGGTTCGTATCAAGCCACGTCCCAACTTTCCTAATAATTGTTACAGCTGGCACTTTTGCTTGGCCGACCACAATTTCAGATACATTAACTTTATCTAATTGAGCATGTGTGCCGATAATCATAAATTTCGTCTTGTCATTGTTCAGTTTTAAGCTATCTGCAATCATCCAAGTTCTAATATCTGAAATGCAATCTTGAAGAGCAGTGATAGCATCTTGTTCCTCTGCAGTAGAGTAGGAATAACTGATCCCATAAAGGATAACTCTACTCTGCAGTAGAGTAGGAATAACTGGTCCCATGAAGGATTAGGAACATTTCTTTGCAGATGGTTCTCGCTTGAAAGGAGAAACTGCACCGAGGACTCCATTTTTGTTTTTCGCCTGATATTTCAATGAAAGTGGATGCTTAAATGTTGGCCAGTATTACTAAGTCAAGTTCTCCATGTGATAGTTCCATGCAGTTATTCAAATTTTCCAGTACAGCTGCCTCCGAGAATTGTAGAGAACAGTGACTACCTTTAATGCCCCTAGAACATCTGCATCCAGCTTCAAGAAACTGTTTCACTTTCCCCACACATTCCTCATTTTCACTAGTTAATAACTCCGAGTGATCGCATTCAGCCATTTTGATGGTTTGAGATGAGAAAACTCTTCGTAGTTACCAAGACAACTCACTGCTGGGCGTTGTGTTACAATAATAATATGCAAATGTAAAACACTGCAGTCCGTATGCAAATTTTAGCTCATGGTAAATGTTGCGTGACATTGCTGTTGTCAATCATTTCAACAAATTGAAGGGCGCAATTATCCAGAATTTCGGGTGAAAATTAAATGAAACAGGACCTTTTTCCAGAAAAGATTTTCAAAAATTTCGGACCACCTTTTTCTTCATCCTGTAAAGTGAAAATTGCAATATTCTATTACGAAAATTATCGTATTTTTTAGGTGTAACGGTACTATTTCAATTTCAACAGCGGAGTGTGTTATCAGTTGAAATAGTCAAGAATGTTAACTTTGTCTCGCTCATCAGTTGGTCATCCCTTTTTATAGATCCTACATTTTCTAGCGTGTTTACTTTTGTCTTGCTCAGCAGTACTAAACACAAGTTGGGGAACACGCTTGTCTGTTTTGACGAACGCGTTGACTTTCCATTGTTAACAAGTTGTCGAATTCGTTTGATGGTTTGCTCGTATTTGAGCGGTAATACAACTACGCGTGCATGCCATTATTAAATGTGGTGTTTTATCGCAGAAAGGATTTTGAAAAAAGTTTATGGTTCACCTACCCTGATTCAGCAATAATTAGTAGCCATTCAAAGACCCAAAGTGGTGAGCAGAGTTAGCTTGAAATAAAAAACCTTCCCTGTCATCGATTGACATAATTTGTGCATAAATAAATTTTATTAAGAAAAAAAAATAATTTTGTGCTTTACTCACCCTTGCAACACATCATTTGATCTGGAACAGGTGGATATGGTCAAATTAGTTCATGAGAACTCATACATGTAAGTGCTTTGGTGGTAAACGAGTTACAATTTACAATTGAAATTTTACATCCTGGTTAGTTCTTGTAAGGAAGCGCCTAAGACTTATTCATTTTAGAGTGTTTAAAGCTTAGTGATATTTTTGTGAAATGTTTCACTTATTGTATATCTGTTACCTTTAAAATGGTATGGTTCTTATATGAACTGAACTGTTCACTATTTAAAAGAAGGCTACTAGGCATTTCACAGAGCATGGCCTTCTCTAAATCCCAAATTAAATTAGTTGGATACTTTTCCTTGAAATCTTCAGGCATTGTCTCATTGGCTAGTTTTCTGGATGGCCTATGTTAATATGGCCAAGTTTATTGTGGTTATTAAGACTCTACAAGTTTACAGTTGGTTGAGAAATTTTTAAATAACTTAGTATCAGGCCTTCTTAAGGGGTTATGGGAGTGGAGATTTTAGATGGGGAGGGGAAGGAGAGAAAGGAAGGCCTGACACATAACCATTGGGAGAACCGTGTGACATATCCAAACTCTGGATGTGACAGTGATTGGATAACACACAATAGCCTCTGACGTCAAAGACTGAAAGTAAACACGAGCAGGAAGATGGGCAGGGAGACGAAAGCCATTAAAAGATTTTTGATAGATGTTTTGATTACTTGTGGTACTTTTATGGACAGAGAAGAAAAGGATATTGTTTCTGTAAATAAAATAAGAGTGAGGAAGCCATGTATTTAAAATAGCCAACAGCGCCAAGGCTCGTTTATTTTTATTTTGTACCAACTTTGCTAAGGGCGGTTACAATAGTGTGCGTGATTGGAATTTGTTTGCTTGCCTCTTCCAAAAAATCTTCACTTTTGATATGTTTTAAGCTCAAGGGGTCTGAGGGGTTGCCATCATATTTCACCAACGACATTGCTTTGCTGTAGTCTATCACTTCTTTCTTAACTGAACTTGCAGTGGCTTTCACAAGCTCTCTGCAAAGTGGTGTAAGTTTGAGAGCAACGTTTGCTGCTGCTTGATACCTTTCTAGGCATAGGAGTTTCACCATTGCACCTTCCTATTTATCCTTGCAGCTTCTTTCAACCACCTGAGAAGATGAGGGATAACCAACAAAGACCTAAAGAAAAAAAATATGATTTATTTAGTACAGTAACCACAAAAAATCTGGTCCTAGAAATTTGAGTACCTAATCACCTTTGAAATCAGAGGTAAATATGTTTCTTCTGGCAAATTCTTAAGGTTAGTTATTTCTGTATTGATGGCTGAATAATTGTCATCCGGTTTGTTGGCTTCAAACATGGATCTTTTTGACGTTGTTCTTGTGTCTAAACACGATAGTTCAGTGCCCTTTTGATGCTTTGCAGCAGGGGTAATTCCAGTTGGCGATCGCTGGTGCTGAGAAACGCAACTTCTCAGGAGTTTGAAGAGTACAAGACTTAGTAGGTTCTGAATATCACTCGGATGATTCTTGGCCTGGTCTATCGATGAACGCTTGTTGTTAGGAAATTGTAGCAACACAAGCACTGGTTTTTGGTCTCTAATTTTTGCAGCAAATTTTGCATAAAAACTTTCCAGGGTTAGAAGCCATTACACTAGTGATTTATTGCATTTGACTATTTGACACATGAAGCTGACGACCCAATGACAAGAAGTGATTTTGATTGGATGATATTGAATCTTGCTGTGTGGGGGTGGAAGGCTCCAGTGAAAGCATCTGTGTCAGGCATTTCTCCCCTTTTGCTCTCTCCCTTTTTCGCTTCTCTCTTCCCTCTTTCCCCCAAGAAATGCCTGACACTCAGGCAGTTAATGAGCTAAATGCAAGTCGCCAAGACTTTGCCTTAATCTACACAAAATAAGAAAAAGCTCATCGAGTGGTTTTAAAGTTCTTGGTCTTCCCTGTTTCTCCCACTTGGTGGTGCCATCAATGTCTTTCCCAGAAAACCAATGCTTAGCATTTTTGCTGTTGTCACTAGGATGTAAATACTCACACAGGGCCATCATTGTCTGGTAGTTTGGAAAGCTGGTAAAAAAGGTTACCAGAGTGTC